GTGTACGTGTGTGTGTGTGTGTGTGTGTGTGTGTGTGTGTGTGTGTGTGTGTGTGTGTGGTGTGTGTGTGTGTGTGTGTGTGTGTGTGTGTGTGTGTGTGTGTGTGTGTGTCCACCTACCTTGTCATCAGCACTCTCTGCTTCTTTCTTGGGCCCAGCTCTGCTCCAAAAGCTGCGGACTTCCTGCATAGACATGAGCAGTGAAAAAATGTAAGCATGAAATATTGTAAAAAAGAAAAAGGATTTATTTGGTTATTTTCCCATAAATCATGTTCTTGTCTCAGTATTCTACAATGTATTCTGGTTTGAAGGCGGGACTGTGTTTATGTGTCCTTGTTAACTGTCCTTATTCATATTCAGCCTCTCTTATTCCTACTAAGGATGCAGAGGATGGTGTTGGCCTCTTGCCTCCTGTAACAGCAATAAAACACAGAGGACAAGCTAACGCAGGCTTTATATACTGTACATGGCTATATGTTTCTGACAGAAGATCAAAAACCTCCTAGAGAAACTGCCATTGGATAACAATAAAAACAAAAACAAAACATTGAATAGTGTGAGAACTAAAGCAGAATCTCCCTAATCGTATTGCTCTGCCTTTCTCTCTGTGTATAATCTATAAATAACCCCATTCTCTTAATTCTACTAAAACCAGACAGGCTCAATCTCGGCTAATCCCAGCCGGCTCCAAGCTTCACCCCCAGTCAATAGAGCAGTCAGAGCAGAGCTTAGCATTCACTGGAGCTGATAAAGGACTATCTGACAAGCAATACAGAACTTTAAACACTATTTACATTCAATTGAGCAGTTATTTAATTACAGTCGATTTAAAAAAAAGGGCAGCTATTAAACAGGACAGTTAAAATAGCACGCTAATAACCAAGAGTCATATATTGAAACTGGTAGAAATACAGCAAAATCAGTCGTGGTGGACCTGGATAACTTATTACTAGTCGTGTCAATTTGTTCAAATATGAAAGTAAGTCAATCAAGACAGAGGTTTTTTTTTTTGTTAATTACAACATCTTAGTTTAGATAATTTCTGAATGATTGGCATTAATTGGACTTAATTAGCAGACAAGGAACCCTAACCCGTGACTCTAGCCCTAAACCATAAGTCACCTTTGCTATAAAGGGAATGTAAGCAGCTAACATCCCAACTAAATGAATTCCCAATTGAGAAGGCATATCTAAGAAATGAAATGCCGTAGTGAACTTCAATGGTGGAAAGTAACTCAGTACATTTACTCAAATATTGTACTTAATTACTTTTTTAAAATATTTGTACTGTACTGTACTGAGTATATCCATTTAAAGCTATTTTATACATCTATTCCGCCACATTTCAGGCAAATATCTTACTTTTTACTCCACTGGGACTTTTACTTGTAATGGAGTACTTTAAGATCATAGAATTTGAACTTTTACTTAAAGTGGACCTATCATGCTATATTTGAATAATATAGTGTAGGACCATACCTACATAAGGCATATATTTACTTTTTATTTTCAAACAGTTAGCCATTCCTCATTTCGCTCAATTTAACACTGTCTTTGCATGGGCTGATTCTGTGAGAACAGCACCATCTACAGGCCTGGCATATGTACTACAGCGTCTCCAGCGCTTTCGAACGGCAATGTCCGTGGCTGTCTCCTCCTGATTGGTGGAGTTGGCCCAATAGCCGTAGCGCCACTTCTGTGACGTCATAGAAGTGTTCAAATCTGGATCAGTCTGTATCAGATCCGTTGCAGCCCCTTTTTAAGAGATTTGGGTATGGAGGAAAATAGAGAGGGTTGTGTTTTCTGACACTTGGTGAGTTCCCTGGAACACCGGGGACACATATTCATGTATAAAAGACGTACAAAAGTGCATTTTGCATGATAGGCCACCTTTAAGTAAAGGATCTGAGTACTTCTTCCAACACTGGTGTACTTCAGACTAATGGTGGAAAGGCAGCTCGTCACTGTCATTTGTGCAAACTGATTTTGTTCTATCTTTTTTAAATATTGTTCTGTTCAACACTGTGAGCCCTGTTTGCCATCAAATCACACAATGGAATAAAAGGAGGAAGTTGGGTATAAAAAATGTTTTGAATTATTTTGAGAGGTTTACAGATAGATTGCGTACATCCTACTTTTTTACTAATCAACTACTTCATCGCAGTATAAATATCTCATCCTTCGTTACATGCCTGGTTATTTGGTAAGACTCTCAAACCAAATGTGTGTACGTTTTTAAGGGGCGACGGTGTACTTGTGTGAGAGGTGTTAACTTGGCACAGGCACCTTCAATAAGCCACAGAGGGCAGATGACGTTAAATGAAACTAGGAGAGGTTAATACATTATGATAATGTGTGGCTCGGGTCCAGGGAGAGCAGTTTGGTTTAAAAAGTTGTTTTATGATAAAAGGTGCAGAGCCAAAGACAGTTTGGCTCTGCAGGGTGGGAATGAGGGACCAATGGAGAGCTCCTCTACTCCACACAGCAGCAGGCCGATACATGATCTGTTGCTCTGTTCATCTTCCTCTGCATCCTACCCTGCTGCCACAAAGCAACCTACACACACTTTATTTCTGTTGAAATGCCTACATGAGCATTTTGGGGTTAAGCATGTGTCCAAGGACGTGCTGACTGCAGGGGGGGGGATTGAACCACTGACCCTCTGATTGGTAGATCAGCTTTACCTCCCTGAGCTAATGCTGCCCATAAAAACGTGCACTATGAGCCGAGGTGTCCTTGAGCGATGCATTGAACCCCCCACTGCACAGGTGCGCTGCGTCCTCTTACTTTTGGCGTGCGCCCCTCATACCAAAATGCAGATTTTCCAGTAAACCTGATTCAAATTCAGATGACACAGTTTACGAGCACGTGATAATAATGGGACTCTAATGAATGCTTTTAATGAATGAGGAGAAATGGAAGTGCACCAGCAGGTGGTGAGGTTGTGCTGTTCCTGCAGGGAGCACACACACAAACACACACAACACATGGAGCTATTACTGCAGCTGGAGGCTTTGGGCACTACCATGCACTAATGTTACACAATCATTCATGCTCTTTTGCTCACCAGAAATAATAAAAACCGTTCAACCCGGCTAGTTTGGATTAGCATCAATGCTTAATGCTGAAATAAGTACGAAATGGTCGATATGTTTTTTAGTTTTAGATTAACTTACATACCTACAATTGTAGTATCATTCCAATGATCTGACATCTGTGCTTCAGATACAATGATTTCAGTCCTCTGACCCCTAACTACTGACCGAGCCTCTAAACCTCATACACACCACTTGCCCTGTGTGTGTGTGTGTGTGTGTGTGTGTGTGTGTGTGTGTGTGTGTGTGTGTGTGTGTGTGTGTGTGTCTGCGTGTGTGTGTGTGTGTGTGTGTGTGTGTGTGTGTGTGTGTGTGTGTGTGTGTGTGTATGTGTTTGTTTGTGTATGTGTGTGTGTTTGTGTGTGTACGTGTGTATGTGTGTGTACGTGTTTGTGTGTACGTGTGTGTATGTGTGTGGGTGTGTGTGTACGTGTGTGTGTGTGTGTGTGTGTGTGTGTGTGTGTGTGTGTGTGTGTGTGTGTGTGTGTGTGTGTGTGTGTGTGTGTGTGTGTATGTGTGTACGTGTGTGTTTGTGTACTGTATGTGTGTATGTGTGTGTGTTTGCGTGTGTGTGTGTGTGTGTGTGTGTGTATGTGTGTGTGTGTGTGTGTGTGTGTGTGTGTGTGTGTGTGTGTGTGTGTGTGTGTGTGTGTGTGTGTGTGTGTGTGTGTGTGTGTGTGTGTGTGTGTGTGTGTGTGTGTGTGTGTGTGTGTGTGTGTGTGTGTGTGTGTGTGGGTGTGTGTGTGTTTGTGTGTATGTGTGTGTACGTGTGTGTTTGTGTGTGTGGGTTTTCCACATGTGACTAAATGCATGCTTAATACTGAAGAAAAATAAATCTGTTGTCAGCCGGCTTTTACACTTGATGTTTGGTTGTGATCCGCATGTATGTGTGTGCGTTTGTTTGGTGTACCTTGTGACCAGGAGGGGCAGTGTCTGAGGTAGAAGCTGACCTCCGGCCTCCTGCCCCCCCACTGCTGGAGCAGATCCAACAGTAAGATCTCCTGAGGGAGAACACGCTCTGAAAGGAGATAGAAGGGAAGGAACTATTAGCACAGCTATAACATAAGGCGCGTTCACACCAAGTACTTTTCCCACAAAGGTTCCTGAGAACTACGATTTAGTTGCATTCACACCAAAAAGTCCCAGGAACTAAATTAGTTCTAGAGAACCTTTTTTACCCCCTTTTCAGTCCCTGCTAGAGAGCAGGGACTTTCGTGGGAGAAAATGGTCCATGTGTCTGATTGGCT